TGCTGGGCGGTGACGGGACCCGGCACCGTGCAGGGATTGCTGGGGGGGGCCCTCTCGGTGACCTGCACGTACAAGGCCGGCCAGGAGACGAAGCCAAAATTCTGGTGCAAACCGGGAACAATTCGTACCTGTGCTGAGGACATCGTCATCACCTCGGAGCTGGAGACAGAGGTGCGGAGGCACCGATTCTCCATCCGGGACAATCGCACACGCCGGGTGTTCATGGTGACCATGGAAGGCCTGACCATGGAGGATGCGGGCACCTACCGCTGCGGGGTGCGAACGAGCAAGATCGAGTGGGATGAGAGTCACGATGTGAAGGTGATCATGTCCCCAGGTCCTTCCTGGGGTCCCCAGGTCAGTACTTGTGGGTTCCCCTGTTCCAGCGTTCGTGCGTCCCCCTCCAAGTGCTTGGAGCGGGGGATGCAGGGAGGGGCAGCTTGGAGGAGGTGGGTGCCCAAGGGCAGCCCCCGGATGTGTCACCAGGGCTCGGCAGGCAGCTGCCATTGCAGAAGCCACTTTAACTCATTCTCCATGCCTAGGTGTCACTGCGGCCCCTTCTTGGTGTCCCAGGGTCAGCCACCCCATCGCTAGGGTGCACCACCCTGCTCTCTGTGCCCCATTTTCCTCCTCATCAGATCCTGCTAGCCCTGTCTTTGCTCTCCTTGCCTTATTTTATCACTCCAGGGATGCCTTCCCCCCTATGCCGCGGAGGAGCAGACAGTGTCTGTGGGCACCAGGCCCTGGGCTTAGGGAATGTCCCTCTCCGTCCCCTCGCCAGGGCCCAGCCCCTGGTGAGACATTTATGTGGGGCTGTTGTGGTGGTGCCGGGCTGGGACAGGGTGCCCAGACCCCTTTCCTGCAGCGTGAACTCTGCTGCGTGCGTGCATGCGTGTGTGTGATTTGGGGAAGGACCGGGACTGCGAAAAGCCTCCCAGGCAGGGGCAGGGGATCACAGCCCTCCCACCTCAAGGAGCGTGCTCTGGACATGGCAGGGGGGACCCAGTGTCTCCTGGGGTGATGGTAAGTGGGTCAGTTCTGACTCACTGCAAAACTTGCAGAATTTTTTCCCCACAGAGGCAAGGAGACTTACCAAGCATCTCCTCTTTTAGTTCCAGCTCCTTCTGCTTCCTCCTTCTCCCCAGCGTCATCCTACTCCACCACCACCACCAAGCACCCTGATCGCATCAGGTCTGTATCAGTCCCCGCACAGACAACTCCCCAGGGGAAAGCTGTGCAACCGGGATCAAATGGCTCCCACCATGATGACACCAGCTCTCCACCGTGAGTAACAGCTCCTGCCCGCAGCGGCCGTCTCCCTCCATGAGCTCTCTGTGGCGCAGCTGGAGCCCTGCAGCTCTTCACAGTTCCCTTAAGGATCCTGCGTTTGCCTTGAGAGACCAGCTTTTCGTCCTCTTGGCCAGCCACTCGGCGTGGAAAATAATCCCAGCACCCCGGGTCGCTTAGCCCTGGCAAAGCCCTGCTTGTCCCTGTCTTGCAGCTTAAGCAAGGCGCAAGTTATCACCATGCGAGAAGTGGTTTCTGACTGTAGCACTGACCCCGTTTCCTTCCCCAAAACGCAGAGGGACCATTTGCTTGTGGGAAATCAAGTGCTGAGCTGGGTCTTGTTCTGTTTTGTAGTCACATGCAGCCCCACAGAGATAACTGAGAAAGCATGAGACCGGAGCTTCCTCCCTCCTCCTCTGCCTCTTGGAGGTGATGCAGGAAGTGGGCAAAGCTGAGGCTTCCCATCAGCATGCTCGAGGGGAGCTGGCACACCGACCTTGCCTGGTTGCCCATTACAAGAAAGTCAAGAAATAGTGGAGCTAAATCAGAGCAAAATTAGGTGCAGGAACTGATCTTTAAAGCAGTGAAGAGGCAGAAGCCCTCAGACCCAAGCGTCCATTTGCCTCTGCAGTTTTCCGTTTCCTTTGCTCCATGCCCAGCTTGCAGCCTGACCACCCCCACGCCTGCTTCCCTTCCTCCCGGGGCAAACCCCGTCGCCCCCAGGCACTCCCTGCGTGCCCGCTCCGGGCCGCTTCCTCCCGAGTCTGCTTCTGAGGAGCAGCGTGAGAACAGAAACTCTTTTTTTTCTTGCAGATTGGATGTGGTTGTGCACATCCTCACTCCAGGCATCATAGTGGTTCTTCTTATGCTTGCAGTTGCTGCCGGCATTTTGGTAATGCTGTCCAGGAAGAGGAAGAAGGGTAAGCAAAGCTGTCGCCGCCACACACAATTTCTGCACCAGAGCCTTTCTTCCACTGTATTTGTTTTTTTCTCTTTATTTCTTTTTTCTCCCCCATTCCCTCCCCAAATCATCCAAATCCTGGGTCCGTCACCGAGACCTCCACCAAGGGGGTCTCCTTCCCCCGAGGGAGCAGTGGGGCCGTCCCACAGGTCTGATCCCCATGGCTCTCGCGATGGGTGCTGCCTGGCACGGCACCCGCTTGAGTTTGCCTGGGCACCGTCAGCTCCTCCAGACGTGCTCAGTTACGTAGGCCAGGCTTGCACTAGGCTTGGTGCGAAGTTTAAGGCGAGTGTGAAGGATGAGGAGGGACAGGAGGAGACGTCACCAGCTGGCAGGTGGGGTCTGGTTTTATTTGAAGAACCGCTCCAGTTTAGATGGTTGATGGGGCAACAGGTTCCCTTCCCTCTTTACAGCGAGATTCACAGTGGCAGCACAGATTTTTAATACATTTCTTTTCCTCTGGTTTCACTCACGTCTAACCATGTCCGTGCTCCATCCAGCCCTCTCCGGAGCAGCTGTAGAGATGGACGGGACACGCAGCACGTCACGTACGGTAAGGCAAACCGCGCGAGGTCTTGGGATGGCGTGCCCTGAGCTCACCTGGGGAGGGGAAATGGTACACCCCGAGCTGAGCGAACGAGCTGCCTGATCCATTTGCTTTCAGCCAGGTCGATGACCCTTTAGGGATCCTTCGGGCTCTGTTCAGCAACAAAAAGACCCGACCGGGGCTTTTGTGTGACTATCGCAGAGTATTCCTGGGAAGGGAATTTAGGATTGAGCTGAGAGGTTTCTCCTCGAGCCCCTCCAAGCAGGGGACCTGCTTCTCCAGGCAAAAGAGTCTTAGGAACCTCCAGCAAAGCACACCTGAGGAGGCTGCGGGGCAGCTGATCTTCGGTCACTGCTTGGGAAACATTTTCTAATGTTTTCTGCCAGCTTTTGAGGAGGGGCTGGTGTCACTAACCAGATTTCCCTGGGAAATGTTGAGCCAGCCCTCGCTGCAGGTTACATTTTCCCCCAGTGCTCCTGCAGCCGTCTCAGCTCTCATGAGGAACGGCAGCAGGACGGGAGATGTTCCCATCCTTGCGGCTGCAGGCAGGGGCTGCAGGCAGGAGCTGCAGGCAGGGGAGCAGCGCTAAGTTAAGAGCTCATGCCTCTCCTTCGCGTGCTAGGGAGCGGACACCTTGAACTACGCGGACATTAACCACCGCACGGGCACAGCCGAGAGCCAGTTGTACAGCAATGCCGAGGCTTTCCGCTGCTTGGCAGACACTGGGACCGAATACGCGGAGGTGAAGCACAGCAATAAGGTAGGAGAGTGCAAAGCAGCACCAAGCTCGAAGCGGTGGGTGGAAAGCTGGGGCGGGTGGGCGACGGCGTGGGCAGTGGGATGGGTTGGGTGGGTAGGGAGGGGGCTGCAAAGGGACATGCCAAGCTGGGGTGCAAATGACCCTGGATAATGCGGGTGCCCTCTCCGATCCCCACGGCTGCTCCTGGGTGCTTAAAGCAGCTGAGAGAGGTTTCAGCAGACAGTGGTTTTTGTTTATCCCCCTCCTTTCCCAGCATTTGGAAAAGGAAAAAGGTGCTACATATGCCACCGTGCAGATGTCCCTGCCGGAGCATCAGGAAATCTACGCCAACATGCTGCCAGCCCCACGACCCGGAGAAAAGCCCTACAGCACAGTGCAGAGGGTGTGAGCCGGCACTC